TGTTTTAAGGCAGGGGTAATATGCAAACTCCCAATATTCTACACATAATGGAAGAGCATAGGAGACCAGATGTATTGGGATTTTCTCTGCCCTTTTATTTGGTTTATCAGTTCTATGCTCTTCTGATTTGTCAAGCTTTTCATACTCCACATGAACACAGTGTGCACATGAGAAAAACAGGCCCAGAAGAAACAGCATTCTTCTAAGGCAATTAAACAAGTACTCCATTGTTATGAAAAGCACTCCACAAATATCAAACTAAACTAAAAATGCCTTTTTTAAAAGTTTGAAGCAGATGACCCACTCATTATACAATTATATTTATGCTTGGCAATTGTATTTGGGTTCTCTTCTTTGTTTACAGCTATTTATAGTAAGAATTACTCAGTGCAGCACATTTCAAAAACTATTGAAAGGCAATATATACAACATCTGCTAAACTTGTGGGAAAACTTGAAATTGCAAGAATGCCTTTCCTAGTTCCAAATGTGCTTCCAAGGAAAGTCAGATAATACTCGTGGTGATGAGTCATGGAAGAAGGCTACCTTAAGGCTACAGAGTATGAAAATGCATCTTGCAGGAGAAATTCATATTTCACAACACTATGCTCAGGCAAATGAATGGTTTTCTTTCATATCAGAAAACAAAGTTTGCTGATCAATTATTTCATTTTGAATTTAATACTGAAAAGTCTGATGGCTCAATAGCTATTGCTGTAAAGGAAGTTTCAGACTCATGTGCAGCTGCTGTATGTTTGACATAGACCATGAATCTACACACAAAAGTCCATCTAAAAATGTCTCTTCAGAGTTATTTGATATTAAAAAATCCTAGAAAAGATAAAACAGGCAGAATAAATTTTGGATTTAAAAAGCGCATTAAAAATTCAACCACATAAAAATTTTCTTGCTCTATAACCTCAGACATATTAGCATAACCATCACATGAATCTTTTTTCAGATGCTAGGGTTATTATAGGAACACAGGGCGGATCCTCAGCTGGTGAAAATCATTAGAGCTGCACAGAAGCCAATTTATGCTAGCTGAAGTTCTGGCCCATAAAATCTCTTCTAAACCTGAAAGAACATCTTGTACTACAATATAACTGGTCTTCAGGTGATTGAAAAGCATCTTGATTAACAGTGTGGTTTCAGGAAAAAAAGCAGGACTGTAAGGCTGACAAATTTCTGCTCTGTGTTACTTTCTTTAACTTGATTAGAAAGATATATTCAAGCAAAAACTTGCACGGTACAATGCATCATTAGTCACACACTGCTTCCCAATAGTGAAACCATCAATTTTACTTTAGATGTGAATATGTGCAAGAGGTCTAACTGTAACTGCAACATTAGCCAGGAAGCAGATGGGGACTGTGATTGAGAGTCTACCTCCTGGGTATATGTTGTACAAGTAGCAGCTCAGCAGAAGAGAGAAGGATTTCAAGCCCCCTTACAGTATATGCAAACTAGATATAAACACATCGACATAAGCTACAAATTTGGGGTTGGCCACTGTGTGTTTAAGAAAAGATTCTATTTCATATAAAGTTGGCAAAGCAGTAGCCTTCATGCAATACAAAACATGTGTTCTGTCTGTTTCACAGAGAGCAGTTTGGAATATCTATTTCTAAATTTGGAATCCAGATCACTACAGTAGGTATGAGTGATTTCAGTGTGGAAAATGAAGTAATAGCAAATACTGGGTGTTATGGAAAAGAGAGATCACACCTACAGAATTTTTTTAAATGGATCCTTTAAATTTTAAGAGCAACATATTTAACCATAACCATATTTACACCTTAAATTTAAACAACTTGATTTCAGACATTTTTTAAGAATCGAGATTTTTGCAAATACCAAATTATCCACTTCCTTTATCCAGACCATGAGTAACAAACATATCCAATTCTAAAGAATAAACTTTCCACTCACTCTTGAAAGTAACATCAGGACACAGTGTAGCTGGCATATTCCAGGTGTCATTTTCTTACATCAGCCTCCCAGCCTGCTTTACAGTTCCTGAGATGTCTGCTCCCTGATTTTCTAGTACCTGTGTTGTACATTCTGTCACTGCCAGTGGTGCAGGCCTGCAGCAGAGCAGCCTTACAGCTCATAAGGCTCTGGCAGAGTGCTGGGAGTGTCTCAGGGCTATCGAGTTTCACTCTGGCACCATTCTTATGATTAAACAATGGAATACTATGAAGACCCAGAGCACCCTCATTTTCCTAGAGGATTCTCTTTTTTTCTGCAGTGATTTTCACCCGGAATATTGCAGCTCCCACTCACTACACCTCATGCAGATTCAAATGTGGCTGAAAAAAGGTCATTTTAATAAGTGATGCAACATGCTGCCAGTAATTCTGAGTAGCTTTTTCAACGTTGCTTCTGGTAAATACCTGGCTCCACTTTTTCTATTCTCATAATGTGCCAAAGACTCCTCCTTGTTATGCTTTTTGCATTAGGGTAACTAATTCCTAAAATAATTTCGATTATATATTCATAGAATATTGTATATGCTATAACAATACAAATGGCAATTAACCCATCTAAGAGCATATCAAGCAAAGTAGTTATCAAACGACCAGATAAACATGTTGGAAATGGCAAAGGTTATAATTTCAATATTTGGATTCACAGGAAAATTATTTACCTGGAGATTCCTACCTCTAATGATCATTACATTTGCAGAAGACCCATTCTTTTATTTATGAGCAGATAATAAAGGTAATTGGAAATACTCATGTAAATCAAATGGAGAAGAAAAAAAACCCAAACCCACACTCTGAAAACACACAGTGTGACAATGCTGTAGAGGCCGTGGGGAGCAGCTCCTTCCTCTGGAACACAATCACATCTGCTCTCTGCAGACTAATGTGCCATAGCAGGCAATTTAGTGCTACATAAACTCATCCTCAACATGCACTGCGAAACCTCTCATTCAAATGCTGTACAATTATTCCCACAACACTGCTTAGTGTTCTCACCATTATTGCTGACAATCTATGAATACTGGAAATGCAAATAAATATCAGCAATAACTGATGCAGAACAGCCAAATAAAATAAAACCTGCCAAAACAAGGCAGGTTCCTCCACCTTTTTTTCCCAGTTTTCCTTTTACCACTTTAAGCAATCCTTCATAGAATGCTCATAATGTCATCCTGGCTTCCTACACGGGTTCCAAAGTGAGAAGTAAATCTAAACATTGATCCTTATAGACTTTATTTTGAGGCAATCTCTTCACAAAGATCCAACAGCCAGTTCAGTCCCTGAGAGAGCTACCACCTTGCTCCAGAAAAAGTTCTGTCTGCAGAAAGTGAAGCTTGCAGTCTTTCTCCTCTAAATGCTCTCTACTTTCTTGATTACTGTGCCTAGTGTCACCATTGAACCTGTCAGTCAGATCTGTCATCTTCACATAATCTTCAGCCAACGTTATTCTAAGTTCACTGCAAAGCTGTGCTAAATCACATCAGTAATTTCCACCATTCTTAACTTCACTAAAATACAGCATTTCCTGTCCAATATCAAAGCCTAAATTCTTGTCCAAGTTCTTCTGTCTCCTTTTTTTTTGCTCACTAAAAATACTGCTGTGATCAGTATTTTTCATTTATCAAAAGTAATTTTGATCTTATTACCTCTTTTTCCGTATTTCCTCTTTTTCAGCATACTTTCTCACACACACATCAATCAGTTTTGACAGTGTTTCAGATTTAGTGTGCCAAGATCACTGCCAGCTACGGTGACTGGTATGACCTTAGAGATTGTTTGAGCATTTTCCATCTGTCTGCTGTATCCTGGCCTCACAACTGCTTGGAATGAGCAAGGAAAGAAAGCGATCTGCACTTTCCTCCTGCCTTCATGCAGCCTCCAGTGGTACAGACTCCTCTCCACTCCTATCTGGGACAGTTTAAAAGAGTTCTTGATTATAAAAACAACAGAAAAATGAAAAATTTCTCAGACTGAGATGGTATGGCTATCATTTCATGTGTTCTACATATAGTAATTAACATAAGCTTCATAAAAAAATCTGGGGTTCACTGAATATTCAAAATATACTTTTTCAAGTTTATAAGCTCTGTTTCAGTCATTTAATTTGACACAGAACTAGAGTTCTTGAAAAATTGTCTCAATTGCTATTACTAACATCAAATCCATAAAAAACTAAGTTTAGCAAAGAATTTACACTATCACTTGTTGTGCATGAGGGCTTCTTAATGATTCAGAATGTGGGAGAAAGTTTCCTGTGTCTATTTCTAAGGAAAATTCCACAATGGTGCAAAGTATGTAAGTGAGGTACAATACACCTATCTGGCTAATTATACCTTAGCTCAGGTGTGCAGGTAGCCATGGAGGTTTGCAGCATTAGCCCACATGTGCTGCCATGGCTACATCTAGCAGGCATCATTGTTCCTTTAAAATGAGCCAGAGCATTTTCAACACCACTGACTGGTGTGGCAAAACTGTGATGCTGCAGACTGGTGCTACCACGGTAGAGGCCACCATGGTGTCCTGCTCATGTGGGAGATCCAGCTGGGTGTGAGCCCTGCTGCCTATCCAAGAGGAATTTTTGTCCTCTCAGGTTTTGCAATATGTACTTACTCATTGTTGCATACGTACACACGGTGCTGCAACTAAAATTCTGCTCTGATTTCCAGTATAAACAATACTATTTTAGTAGCAACCTTTCCTTTCAAATGACTCCTACATTTAGTACCTACAGTTTCTTATGATTCTGTTATTGGAAGTGGAGAGAGATGTTGGTTAATTGTGCTGTATTAGTAAATGTCTTATGTGTTGAAAATTTTCACTTAGTTTGAAAGGAAAATCTTTGTGATTATCCAAAATCTGGTCCTGACTGGACCACTGAAATAAGAGAAGTGTTTACTATATGTAAAATTTTGATGATTGCCTTGCTGGAATTTGTCTGTGTTAATGAAATATTTAGATTAACCTTCAGCTCTTGCCCTTATTTTGCAATGTGCTCAGAGCGAGCTGTTGACTAGCTGAATTCAAGCTGGCTACCCTGCCCTTTAGCAGTGTTTCAGAGAACAAATGTCCTCAAGTCTGTGTTCAGAGCTGAGCACTGTTAAGCAAGGTAAGAGGATCCAGCTCCATATTATTTCTGCCACAAGTAGCATAAAATTAAAATGAAGAGGCTGGAGACAGGCAAATTCCAATTTCCCTTCCATAAAAGGAAAAACCGGAGCAGGGGACAGAAGAAATCAAAGTTAATGATTAATGGGCAAAGAATTTCTTGCAAAGCATTGCTAATTCTTTCCTTTTCCCATCTCTTGGCAGAATTTAGCAGAACTCTCATTCAAAGAAAGAAAAAATGACAAGTTTACAACTTCTTTCATTTCTATTGCTTTCTTGTATCATCGTCTCAGCAAATACATATGAAGAAAAGAAAAAAGGTAATATACTATCAAATATAAATACTGATCCTTAACTTTAAAAAAATTTTTATGCTATAAAATTTTAGTATTATTGACTGTCTGGTCACCAGGATGTTGGATTTGAGTGCTATGTTCCCTAAAATATGGCCTTTATTTATGTCTGTATTTATCAGAAAATGTAGTTGTTCATAATTACCACAAATATTTCCCAGGGGGAACCCATACATGTTGAGACTACAGGATTAAGGTAATATGACCTTTAGCAAAATTTCTGATGAAGCTAATTTTAAAATGTCTTAACTTAAAAATATTCACTGAATTTAAAATGTTATAATCTTCTTGGGCTGGAATTATTCTGTGTGACAGATTTAGTCTCCTACTAGGAATCAAAGTTTCCAGCTACCTGACAGTGCTTAAGCTTTCATTTTCTGAGTTGCCTAATGCAGACTGCCTTTCATCTCAAGTGGGTGAATATCTTTGAGTGAAAGAGAGACATCTGTGCTAGGTTTTGTTGAGCAGTGCTGTGAAGGGTCTTTATCACTGGCATGGTTTTACAGCCATTTTCTATGCATTTGTGACACTGCACATTATGTCAGTATCTGTGTGACTGTTGAGTTAGACAGGGCATCAAACAACTGCATTTCTTAAAACCTCTCAGATGTGATTGACAAAGACAATGCCATGTTCGACTTCATTATTGATGTATACAAAGCCAGCATTAGTTATCCTTTTTATCTAATTGCATTTCTAATACTCTAAGTCTGGAGGGGATAAATGCAGTTTTCTCCTTGGCAAGATATGCACATTCACAGAAGTATGGCCCCTTACTGCAGCTGTGTTTTGTACTTTTGTTTAATTTATATTAACAGTTTTAGAAACCATTTGCTACAAAAAAGCTTTATATGCAATAGGCATTGTGATTTCAATCTATAGGAGGCAGGACCACCTTTCTTTGATTCTGCACATTAAATTTCCCCTTGGGTTTAACTTTGAACAATATAAAATCTCTGAATTAAAACACTGTGAGAAACTTCAATTAACGCCATAACTTTGACCTGGTTTACCAGAGAAGGCTGCACATCCTTCACAGTCGCTGAACCTTAGAAAGCTATTTAGAAACATTGACCAGTTCCGTATTTTTGAGAGAACCTAAAATAAGAGCAGTAAGTTTATTCTGAGGCTTCTCCCATCATCTTTGCTGAGATCTATTGAGATTCCACTGTGTGGTCAAAGTTTAGGTCCCCATAGATTCACAAGGCAGAGAGGGGAAGTCACTGTCCCCTCGTTCTTTCACAGCCACAGGTCCTGCCTGTGCAGCTCACGTCCTCCTACCCCCCGACCTGTGGCACCATTTATAGCAAGGTCAGTCACTTCACTCTCTCCATCGCCCTTTCCCCTCATGACCTAGGACTCCTGTGTCATGGACTTCACTTGTTTGCTCATTGCTTCTGCAGTTTAAAACCTTACTCGTGGGCCACAAACAGGTCACGTATCATATTGGCACTAGCAGATATGCTCAGCTTCCAGTACGTTGAAGCAAGAGACTGATTTCAGAAGCAGAGAAGGTTTATTTTTAAAAATGAAAAAAAATCTACTACATTTTCTTCCAGAGGCTCCCCACAGCCTAACTAGGTCTGCTACAGGGGGTAGTTACAAGGCTAAAGACTCTGGTATTCCATTGTGTTGAACTAAGACCCTCATCTCTTGTCACTTTTAAATCAGTCCAATTCCAACTGTCCATTTGCATCAATGTGTATTTCTGCATCTTTCACTCCCTTGGTATCCTTCTCCAATCCAACCTCAGCCACACCAACCTTGGCCAGAAGATAATGTAACTCCCAGTTGTCAAAACCTTGCCTTATTTGTGTAACCATTTGACTTGTCAGCAAAGCTCTGCTTGTTCTCTATGTGTTGGCTGCACCTGGTAACCTCAGGGAGTCTTTTTCCTCACTTCACTTCTCAGTGAGGCAGATTCGTTTGCCACAATGCAGATGCAAATGACAGTAAGGCATTACCTCACACTGAGGAAGGGAGCAAAGCTTTTAGCTCTGCATAAGAGGCCTTTTAACGCTGTCAGGTTGAGACAGCTTTGTGTGAGCACTGTATCTGTTTTACCTGGATATCCTTCTGCCTTGGAGCGTGCCTTTTCTTGTTTTAGCAGGAACTGGAGCATAGAACAGCACAACTATCAGGAGTGCAAAGCTTCCTCAGGGATGAGTGTCTGGTACATAATTCTAGCACAAGCAATTACCTATGAGAGAGCCATTCTCTAGAAGAACAACCACTGTGTAAAAGTCCTACTCATTCATTTGTATCCAGAAAATAAACAACTGCTTCAATTTTTTTCCTGCATCATTGTATCCACCTACACAGTAAAAGAAATCACATTTAAAAATCCGAACTTACAGGAATTAGAATGCAGCAGGTAAATCAATTTAGATGAGTGTATGTAAATATTTTTGATCAAGTTATGTACAAAAATATATAATCTAGGTTCTTATTTTATACTTAATTATGTAGAATAAGATGGATTGCATTACTAAGTAAAGACAACACCAAATTTAAAACACACACAGGGTTATTCTTAAAAAAACACAGAGGATTTCTGAAATGCCATGATTTTCTTGTACATTTATATAGCAGGAAAGAAGTTTGGCATTTTTGGCAAAGGTTCATTATCTAAAAGCAGAAGCCCAGAATGAGAAATAAGCACCTAAAAATAACATCACTGAAACTGAGCCAAGATGATTCTTTCTACAAGCATGTGAAAAATACATAAGCTCTTATTTGTTTTGGTTCTTCATAACAATACATAAGCTCTTATTTATTTTGATTCTTCTCCTGTAAACATAAAAGTAGGTGGGAATATTTTCCATTATTCCACTTAATTGTGCAGAGCAGAGTTAAACAGTAGTTGACATGAAAATGCATGCTCTTGAGCTGACACTTCTTACTTGACAGTCTCACAGCTGGCAGTTGAGCTGCACTTTTTTGCCCAAAAGAGAAGGTAACAGCTGTCATCCAATTCTGCTGTTTTAAGTACTGCAGTGCTATCATCACCTTAGTATTACACACAGGCCACAGGAATGGATTATATAAAAATCTGAATAGTTGTTATGTGTTCTTTATTGCCCAAGAGGATTACAGATGCAAGAGATACTTGAAATAGGAAATATATATCAAAGACTATACAAAATACCCCAACAAAATGCAGTGTGTGGGGTATACCCAAAAAACTACCAAAATAATAATTTCTACCCGAAGCGGAGAAACTATTAGAAACACAAAAAGCAGAGAAGATTCAAAAGCCATTCAAACTGTAGAGATAGAGAACTAAAGTTAGCCCATAGAAACAAGTCTAAAAACTGTTAATATTTCTTATTTACTTCAATGGACTTATTGATCACTTCTGAAGTTTAAATCTAGTTAGATCACTTAAACAGGGATTCAGGAGCTAAATTTTGTGACATACAAAAATAAGGGTCTGTGAAGTCCTGGAATTTGAAAGTGCAGATACCAGTTACACTAATGATCTATGGTATGATATTATCAGGAAAAGTTCTGCAAAACCATTTGCTGCCATTTTCTGACTGGCTGTGTTTAAGATTTGCATTGGTCCCAAAAGTCTTAGAATTCTACCTAAATTTCTATGATCTAAACCAGTTATTTTTCCGTTTGTCATCTGGAAAAATCTATTAATAGAATTTCAGACATAATTTTTCACTACAGGATGCAAAATAGAATCATAGTTTAACCAACAGAAGGCCCTTTGCTTTTCCCATGAAGAGAGACAATAACAGGAACCCAACTGACAAAGGAACTATCCATGCACGAAACAACTTTCAATATTTCTACAAAAGCAAGTGATGGAACATCTTAATGAGGAGCCTAAAATCACCAGTGGATTGCAATTCATATGACTTGAGCATTATATTCTTCTGACTATTGCTGTCTGAATAGTGCTTGCATATGACACAAGAAAAACCTGAACATACAGAAGAGTTCTTGGTAATGTGGCACTGGAATCTAACTGCTTAACTGGTTGTCTTCCTTCTTCTCAAACTAGAGAAGGCTAGAATTTAAAAGTTTTAAATACAAATACATAGTTTCAGTGGAAAATTAATATCAATAAAAACATTCTGCATCAAGCTCTGGGATCCTCAGCACAGGGAAGATGTGGACCTGTTAAGGTGGCTCCAGAGGCCACAAAGATGATCAGAGGGCTGGAGCACCTCTTCTATGAAGACAGGCTGAGAGAGTTGGGGCTGTTTACCCTGGAGAGAGCTCCAGGGAGACTTCATTCAGTCTTTCAGTGCCTTAAGAGGGCTTATAAAATAGAGGGAGAGGAACCTTTTATATAGGCAGATAGTGACAAGGAGCAAGTGGTTTTACACTGAAAAAGGGTACTTTTACATTAGATATAGGAATAAATTCTTTACTCAGAGGATGGTGAAGCACTGGAAGATGTTGTCTAGTTGAGGCTGCCTGATCCCTGGAAGAGTTCAAGACCAGGTTGGATGGGGCCCTGGGCAGCCTGACCTATGAGAGCCATCCCTGACCATGGCAGGAGGGTTGGAACTAGATGATCTTTAAGCTCTCTTCCAACCCTAACCATTCTATGACTCATTATTAAAGAGAACATTTTTCTTCTTATTCTGTGGTCCACTCTAGGTTTATATTACACATTTCCTTTTAGAAAACCTAGTTATGGCAAGTCCATGTGAATTTTCAGGGTTATTAATAGGTTTGCATAAACAGCAATGCAATAGTGATGATGTAAGTCCTACCACCATATGGTCCCCTTGGGTGGCCTTAGCACAGTGACCTTTTTTCCTATGTTAGATGGAGCTAAGAGTCTGTTTGCTGAGGCTGAGTCGGACTCCTTACACAGTGGAATAGCTTGGCAGCAGGTGGATGGGCCAGCAGCCACTTCCAAGCAGCATGATTAAGATTTCCTGGCAACATGAGCAATAACTGGCAAAAGAGACAGAAGGGACCATCTATCTGTACATGCCAAG